TGAGGGAACATGTAAGCAAAAAGGGGAGACCAAACACAAAGGCGTGACTGGGACCCAGGGAACAAGGAAGTGAGAGACACAGAGAGGGGAGACGTAAACACAGATGTAACAGCGGCACTTCGTCTCTGTTTCACCACCTTCAGGACTTATTCCAGCAACAAGCTTTTGAAGCACAAGCAAGACCATGGAACCTTTCTTTCAAAGAAGATGTTTAATGAGACTTTAAATTAACATGGCAAGACTCCATGCCTATCTGACTCCCCACATGTAACTACCATATACCAAAAAGCACATCAGAACTTCACATTTCCATCTCTTATGTTTTTACCATAACAGTATTTGGAAATTATATATTTAACAACAAAAATGTATATTTCTCATTTTATTCATTTTACCAGTACCAAGAAACTAGCCTTTAATTGGCTCTTACAACAGATGACACAACAGACACATACTGGAAACACAGAGGAGAGACCAAAACATCACGGGAACCTAACACACAAAAGTAAACAGGGAACACAACGAACTCAGAACACAGAATAACCTCAAGACTAACTAATGAACCTAAAATCATTATACATAACAATCACCAAAACAAAAGACAGTCAGAGTCCTGGGTCAAATGACCCACACCCATGACACACCGAGGTTTGTAAGATTACTGATTTTTGAGTACCACCCTGAGCTGAAGCGGTTCTGTGGAGGCTTCCCCCTCTACAGAGAGCAAAGAGACACTGAAGAACCGTATGACAATAACCAGAACCCAGGATAAAGAGGTTCAGTGAATGTGGTGTTGAAGGTGTGGAGGTGGATCAGAGTGTCAGAGGAGACTCTGTAGAAGGACAGAGTGCCAGCAGGACAGTCCACATACACTGCTGCTCTGTTAGAGACAGAGGAGGAGGAGGAGGAGGCGAGGTCTGTTCTCCTGTTATCGTGACACACAGAGTACTGACCAGCATTGGAGCACCTCAAACTCCACGACTGACCGTTTACTCCAAACCTGCTGTCATTGCTGCCTCCTCTCCCCGTGACTCCTCTGTAAGTCACTGAAACGTGAACCTCTCCGCTCCACTCAACCTCCCAGTAACAGCGACCAGTCAGACCATTTGTACACAGCAGCTGAAGCCAGTACTCAAACCTCTCTGGGTGATCGGGATAA